CATGTGTTACTTCAAGAGTGTCCCATATTTCTTTTGTCGTCTTGCATTGTGAGACCCTGAAAAATTCATTACGAGTTAAGGCAGAAACAATAGCATTTCGGGCGCTTACATCATAATGGGCACGCTTATTTTCATCTGGCGTCCATTGGTCAAAAGTCTTTGGAACAACTCCAGACTTCGTTGTTCTCATCGGAATGTAGGGACCATTGAGTACAGCATCCCAAACACCATAATCTAGTGTTTGTAAAAATATTTCCATTCTCGCTTTCCAAAACTGATAGTCTTCTCCTTCAAATAGTGGTGGTCTGTTTATTGAAGCTCCTTCCCTGTAAACCTGATTCTGCATAGACATCTTGACAGATCGTTTAGAATATCGTATCTAACCAAGCTCTGATACCACTTATTAGACAAATGACATCTAGAGGGGGGTGAATAGATGCACAAATTAAAATAGATGTCAAATTAAAAATTTATTTGTGAGTCAATAATTTGTTAAAGCGGAAACAATAATATAATCAGGAAAAGAGAAAGAGATAAGGGAAAGAGAAGAGCACATAGAGATTTATACTAGTTCGGGTATAGCCAACTCTACATCCAGTTTCCAGTCAACTCTTAACACAAGAGTGACTCCCCACTCACTATCTTTCAAATTCAGTTTACAAATTACAATCAACTCAGCAGAAGAACCAGTAAAAAGTAAACTAATTAAAAAGACAATCACCTCCTTAGAAACCCATTAAGGATGGACACCTCCCTAGAATCCCACTAGGGATGAACACCTCCTCTGAACAAATCAAAGGATGAAAACACCTCCTTAGAATCCCACTAAGAATGAACACCTCCCTAGTATCACACTAGGGATGAAAAACACCTCCTTTTCAACCAATGCAAAAAGGATGAAGGTAATAAAAATAAGAACAGACACACCTGGGTAATGGAGACAACAAATTGTAGAAGCCTGTAGAATGTCAATCTCCAAGAACAAGTGTGATTAACAATGAAAGCACAGAAGACAGTAGAGAAGAGGGTTTTCTCAAAATGTGTAAAATATCTCTGTTGCCTTGTTCAGAATTCTTTTCTCAAAATTGATTGAATGTAAATTGTATTTTCGAATTTTGTAATTGTGTGTTTTTTATTTTTCATCAAAACTTAATTAAATAGAAAAAATATCATCAGAAAATGGTCGTTGAACATTAATAATATCATAGAGAAAATCAGGATGTATTCAAAAACATTTATTCTTTAAAACGGATATATTTTTCAAATTTGAATTGCCATAATTGATTATATTACCAGTATAATTAATTATGATAGAGAAAATCATTTTTCCATTTCTGGTGCATCATAATTAATTATGACAGTGAAAAAGATCATGTTATGAATTTTATCACACTTGTGCTTTGGAGGCTTATGCATACTATTACTTCATCAACTTGTACCTCCATATCCAGTATTCTAAGACCCTATCTAGTCTTCAGGAATCATCCTGGGCTTGCTTGAATCATCATCTTTATCACCTACGTCATAAATTCAGCTTGTCCTTAAATTCATCTTGAATGATGTTGACTTAAATGTAGTTAACTTGAATCATCATCAAAATCATCTCTTGAGAATGCAGGAACATTTCCATCAATCTCCCCTCATTGCTTTTAGATTTGGTTTAGTAATCTAAAAAAATGTACAATGTTATCTTTTATTATAATTAATGTAATAGTAATTGTTTTTATATTGAAAAAGATAAAATAAAGATCTATGATATCATATATTTTTTAAGTAATTTATCATTAATTTTATTTTATTTATTTTTTTAATAAATTTTAGAGAACTTATTATTTCTTCTCCTTTATTTTATTTTGTTTTTTTTTCAAATTGTTAGATGAAACAACTATTAACAAAATTTAAACAAGTATCACATATAATTCATCCAATAAAAAATTATTTCAAGCAATACTTTATTTAAAAATCTCAATAAGCAAATTTCATTAAATAGTTTTTGAAAATTACAAATTTAAACTCGAATATTTTAAATTAGAATATTTTAAATAGAGATAATGTTGCAAAGTATAAACATTAAAAATTATATAGGTTTAAATATATTTTTTGATTTAGAGTTTTAAGTATATTATTTTATATAAAAAATATATGATAGTGTGGAATTGTTTATAATATTTGTATGCATATAAACATATAATAAATAAAAAATTAATTATATATCAATTTTAAAATCTAAATTAAAATTATAATATAATATATTTTACTTTTATTTTAAACAATATTTTAAATCACAATCAATACTTAATTTAAATAAAATATAATAAATTATATATAGTATTAACGTACTTTATTGTATGTTTACTTAATTTTAAATTTTAAATTTGATTTTCCTTTTTTTAATCTTGTTTATTTTCTTACTAATGATTTTTTTTAATTCTCGTCATTTTTTATATGAGATTTTTTTTTTTTAAATTTTATTGCCTCGTTCTCACATTTTTCCTTTATAACAATTTAGAAATAAGTTTTTTTGATATAATATTTCTTTTCACGTGACTTCTTCTCCTTTGTATCCATAGTCTTTCCTTTAGTCCCAACATGATAGAAATTTCCTTAAATTTTGCCTCAATATTTGTTTTATTGATCTCATTGATATGGACTTTTATTTACAAAATATAAGGTGAAGAAGACTTTTTTTTCCTTAGAGCATCATTTCTTATTCTTATCCTTCTTTATTTCATTTATTTTTTAACACAAGCAAGTTTATGATAAGCTTAAATTCTTTCAATTTTTGTAATTTTTTAGCTCAACTTAAAGTTTCTCTTGTTCAAGATTTCTGAGTTCTGTCTTTGTGCTTGAAAATCTTTTTTTGTATTCAAGAACTTTTTGATTTTCTTTTTCTTAAGTGCATTTGTTGGTTTTTTTTTCTGCAACTCAACAATTTTGTCAGGAAAGATTGTTACTTTTTGGAGTATTGTTTCAATCAAGGATGATATTGATAAGGCTCATAAATATTTCAAGTAATGATGTTGGCTTGAGGTTGAATAAATTTTGTCCTTCATAGCTCTTTTGTCTCTCCCATTTGGGTATTTCACAACTAAAATCTTCATGATTTCTTCATATTATTCTTTTCAATAATTACATATTTTGCTGATTGACTTTAAATTATTTTGAACATTAAAATCTACTTGTAAATTATAAAAATGTTAATTAAGTAAGTTCATTATCATTTAAGCAATATTCCTCTCATCAAAAGTTCGTCTTTCTCTTATTATACGTATGATTTAAATATTTATTAGGCTATTTTATATTATCAATTGATTTAAGATTGAAATCTTATCATAATATCAAAGGTAAAATCTAACTTTTTTTGTTGTTGTTATCTTAGATAATAATTATCATTTTCTTATGAGTCAAAAATATTTTTTACCTAATATGACAAACTTTATTAAAGGGAATATATTGAAAGTTTATATTATATAATATGATTTAAATATATATGTTAAATTACTTCAAATATTACCTTTATTTTTTTCAAAAATATTTTTACTCAAAATTAAGGTTCAATTAAATCTTTCATCTCTTAAAGTTTTTTTTTGACAAATATTTACTATTTGGACGAAAATAAGACTAAAATAATTTTATTTTTTTCTTCCTAAAACAATGCATAATGTCAAGAAACATGAACAACTCGCAAAATTTTGTACTAATAATTTTCTTGTATAGAATCTTGCTCAGTCAGTCAGTTTCACAATGACTTCAATTTAAGGGTATTCAACATGTATGAAGAAAAACAATAAATATATCACTTTGTGAAACAAATTTATTGAGACGTTCTTATTTTTTTCATAAATACATTACTGTCAATAAGTAAGAAGAAATAACTAATTAGAAGAAGACTCATTAGGAAGAAAGAAATTAATATTTTATGGAAAAGAGAAAACGTAATTTAAAACCGCGAATCATTAATAAAAAGGAGAAATATCTAGGTGTTGTTGAGGATTAAAACTTGTCATATAGATCAAAACAATGGTACGTGAAATCGTATGAACGTGTTAAAATTTATAGTATTGCATAGAGTTTCCCAATCCCAGGCTTAGCATATCCCAAACGATTGATCCAACACAGCATATGCTCCTTAAAATTCCGCTCCTGTCCCACGAACAATGAAGCAACAACAACAACACGTACTCACTCCAACAACTTGTAACCGCGTTGAACCAAAATTCTTAATCTTCACGAAGTTGTTCGCTACAATCCAACACACTCAAACAGTGCAAAGGCTCACAAGAAGCCTCGTCACACACACACAGACACTGTTTTGAACAAGCAATTACCGGACGCAATTAACTACTGAACTATCACAGCAACGTCACGTTTCCCTAAACCGTAAACCCAACGTGGACACCCTCATTGTTACCTCGGTATGACCGATTTTCTACTCTTTCTCTCTTTGTCGTTGTCTTGCAATTTGTCCCGTCTCAATTGTCTTATCCTTTTCTCATATCATCAACTGCACTCATTGATTATAGTTTAAGTAGCCAGATTTCAGCTTAGTATGTTCCCCTTTTCACCTTGGAGAGGTTCAATTTCTTCTTATTGAACTCATGCTGCTTCAGACTTTTTGAGGGTACATTTCAAATCTCTCTCTTTATGTGTGTGTTGTTGAATCTAAGGTAGAGTTTTGTGAGCCGTTGGAAATCCTTTTATTTAAGAAGTAAAAATGGTTTATTAAGCATAAAGTATCCTCTCTTCACTAGTTAACTTTTATGATTGAGTTAGAGAGTTTGAACTCAACTTAGCTAGATTTTGACATATCAGAAACATTTTCTCAAAGACTAATGCTTTTTGTTGTTGGGCTTATTTGGTTTAGAGTTTATTGAGTGTGTCGGTCTTGCAATTTGGTGGCGTTAAGGGGTTTTGAGTTTCTAATTTATGTTTTTGTATTTGATAATGTATATGCAGGATACTGTTGAGAGTGCTTATAAGGATTACGTGACCATTGGACTATGGGGGGTGAAACAGTGAATGGGAGATGGCTTAGGTGGCCAATCTCACGCAAGAGTGCATCAGATGGCAAGGAACTGATTGGGATTTTGGCGTTTGAAGTTGCGGGTTTGATGTCTAAGGTGGTTAATTTATGGCGTTCTTTGAGTTCCAGAGAGATAATGATTATGAAGGAATGGATAGTGAAATCTGTTGGGGTCAAAATTCTAGTGTCTGAGGATAATGATTTCTTGATGGAACTTGCATTGAGTGAGATACTCAATAACTTTGAGTCTCTAGCTTGGTCTGTGGCCAGGTTGAGTAAAAGGTGCAAGGATCCAGTGTATCATAATTATGAACATTTTGTTCGTAACCCTGCTCAACATTATCGTCAATGGTCTGGGTGGGAATATGCATGGAAAAAGATGGAGAGGAAGGTGAAGAAAATGGATAGATTTGTTGCTGCTATGACACTACTGTCCCAAGAGCTTGAGGTACTTGCCGAGAGAGAACAGACTTTCGGGAGGATGAAGGCGAATCGCGAGCTTCGTGGGGTGAAATTGCTTGAGTTTCGCAAGAAGGTCATGTGGCAGCGCCAGCAAGTGAAAACTCTGAGAGACATGTCTCCATGGAATAGAAATCATGACTATGTGGTCCGGTTATTGGCAAGATCATTGTTCACAATTCTTGAGAGAATCATACTCGTCTTTGGAAATAGTCATTTGCCTATTGAAAACCAGGAAAATGAATCCCTTTTTCCCTCCGTGAACACCAATAGCAATCATCTTACTCGCTGTCATTCCTTCTCCATTCCTATGCATTCTTCCAAGACTAATTCACGTGGATTCAGTTCACAACGTTTTGAGAGCAAGCCAGGGTTGAAATCAGCGTTTGTAGTGGACAAAGGCAAGACCAAGAGAAAGAAGAAAAAGCAGCAAGTGCTTCATTCAGAAAGCAAGCAGTTCAAAAATATTGGGCCTTTAATAGGTTGCATGTCAGCTGGAAATAATTCTCCTGTTGTACAAATTTGTAGGCCAACTAATGGTGGTTCAATGAGGTTGGTTGATTGTCATCATGTGAAGAATATTGACAAAATAATGGATAAAAAATCTCTTATATGCAGAAGTAGAATTTTTTTAAAACTGTCTGTGAAGGGTGGGTTAAAGCCAGGTGAATCTACCCTTGGTGGTGCAGCATTAGCTCTACATTATGCAAACGTGATTGTACTAATAGAGAAGATGGTGTCAGCACCTCACCTCATTGATCTTGAAATAAGAGATGATTTGTATAACATGTTACCAGCCACTATAAGAACCGCTCTGAGGGGTAAGCTTAAGTGGTATGCTAAGAGCAAGCGTGCCACAGTCCATGAAGCTAGGCTCGCAGTGGAAAAGAGCATGGTACTCTCACAAATTTTAAAATGGTTGGCCCCTCTGGCACACAACATGATAAAGTGGCATTCTGAGAGGAATTTTGAGAGGGAGCAATCTGCTTGCAAAGCAAATATTTTGCTTGTCCAAACTCTTTACTTTGCAAACCAGGCAAAAGCTGAAGCTGCAATGGTGGAACTCCTTGTTGCTCTTCACTATGTGTGCAGGATTGATAGAGAGGCTCGCATGAGGAAGGAACAGGAGTTTGCAGAGTCTAGATTTTTTAATGATCTTCGTATTAAGAAAGAAAGAAAATAGATGTTCTTAGGCTCCATGAACCTTGCCAATGTGAATGTCAGTAATCATTCTCTAATGTAGCCTTTTTCAAAAAGGTACCATCATGATACTTTTAATATACCAATACACTGAGAATCACATCACGCCGCTGATTCTGAGCTTTGCTTGTATCATAATTCTTTTAATTGGTTTTGCAGCTTAGAGAGATTATTAGATAATTGTCTGACAGATTTAGTATAAAACTAACACTCATTTATTACCTACCATTGTTGGGTCCTTATCACTATTGATTCAAGTGTTCAAATTTTCTGCGAAACTCCTCCACTGTAATTAAATCGTACCAAAAAAGTTATACCCTTGTCAATTACCTTGGACATGGGTGAAAGTCAGACCCAGACATCGCAAACATGACACAACAACAGACAGTGTCAGAAATTTAATGATGTTAATATGAGTCAGAGGAAGCCCAACCAAGTCCTACATCATACTAATTTAGGATGTTATCCTCATTATTTAATCATGGTAAAATTTAGAATGGACGTGACATGACATAATCTACCATTGCGAAAAAATTAAAAAAGAAGTTGTCAACTAAATAAAATTAAACTAAATTTAGTTCTTTGATATAAGATTAGGATTATAGTAGTTTATTTATAAAATATTAACTATATTTTAAAAAAGTAATATTATATATATATATATATATATATGAATTTTATATTAAATAATTATATTTAAACTTGAAATAATTTTATTAATTTATCTAAAACTTTAAAAATACCTTATATTTTAAAAAATAATGACTTAGTTATTCAATTTAAGAACAAGTTAGACTTAATATGATTTATTTTTTAAATGTGTCTGGCTAATTCTAAGTACTTTTTATACGTGATTAAAAGATTATATCGAATTTGACTATTGACAATGCTATAAAAAATATATATGTGAAAGATTTTTTTTAATTTCTTGTTTAAATAGTAAATATTATTTAAAATTCAATATGTGTAAATTCAAAGAGTTTTTAAATAAAATCAATATTTATCTTATTACACTACTAAATTAACTTCTTCCTCTCTCTTTTTCTCTAGAATTCCATTTTATAATATTCATTAATATATATATATATATATATATATATATATATATATATATATATTACTAGTCTGAATTATCAAATTTATATGATATTTATTATCTAATAAAAATATTTGTTATATTAATGTATTTTATACATAATTGATTTATTTGAATACGTAATTATAGTTAATATTAAATAAATATAATTTATTATTTAAAATATTCTGATAAAATATTTTTCCATTATATCTTTTATAAATTATCTAATTTCTATTTAATTTTTTCTATTATTATTATTTTTTTTATATTGATTTAAACATTTTTTTAATATTAAACAAAACTTACTCTAATAAATCCCAATTAACATATCTGAATTTATTTATTATTATAATATTATAATAAGAATATATATATATATATATATATATATATATATATATATATATATATATATATATATATAAGTAATGATATTTTGATTGTTCATTTTTATAGACAATCACGTGAAAACCTTTTATAATAATACAATTTAGTGTCTCTTTGACTCACGTAGGAAAAAAAAAAACAACGTAACAATATCCAAGATACAATATTATACACATTTCTAGGTGATGATAATAATAATTTATGCTTGTATAGCAATTGTACTAGTCATATAATTTTTGAATGGTTTCAGCTTAAAACTTGATTGATTGATGAATCAAGGAAAGTGATAATATATATTTTGTAAACACTTTGAATTGATGTTGTTTATCTCTTCACCAACCTTTCTAAATTTGCTTTTCTATCTGGTTTATTATTTTGCCATCATTTTAATATCATTTGCATTTTTAATTCTTTTCTCTCAATTTTTTTTTTACTTAGAACATTTTATAAATAACTTTAAACAAATGTTTACTAAGTTTTTGAGAAATTAAATAATCTTTTAATAATTATTGATGAAATTATAATATATATTGAAATCCAAATATGATTAACAGTTTGAACTTATATTAATTTATATTTTATTAACTAACTTAATTTAAATTTTTATTATAAATTCAAAAATTAAAATATTGTTAACTATATTAAAAAATATTATCTATTATCGGTTTTTTAAAATGAGGTCGATTAAACTGATATACGTATGGATTTAAAATTTTAAAAAATAATCAAATTTAAGAAAATGATTTTTTATAATATAAAAATATAATAAAATTATTAATAATATTTTAAAAATATTTAAAATAATAAAACGTTATTATCACACTTATTGTAAATTATAATAAAACTTATAAATATAAAACACAACGAAAAATTAAAAGATTGATAATTGTAAAATAAAAACATAAAAAATAAATGTCATTCATATGAAATAAAAAAAAATAATTTTTTTTGTATATTTATAAAAAAAGTATTTTTAAAAAAATTTTGATCTTTAATTTTTTTACTGTTAAAACTAGTTTGAGTTAATAAAAAATGTTTTTTTCTTATTATAAAAATAATAAAAAAATGAATTTTATAATAAAAGTGAGACATATCTTCAATTTAATCTAAATGTCTATTTTAAGCTTATGATAGATACGTTTCTTAAATCCTACCTTTTATTGAAGAACTTCTCTTAGCCTCTCACCCTATAAGACCATTACAAAAATTTGAAATAGAAACCACTCCAAATTTCAAGTACGAATCTACTGAAAATCGAAACCATCACAATTAAGGTTTTGGTTGTTGACAAATTTTGGGTCATGTATATATATGAAACATATTTAAATGTGTTAGGGTCATTATTTATTAAGCCAAATAATAAAGTGATCTAAATAAATTAAAGTTTTGGCTAAAGGCATATGTAATGAAAATATGATTGTATAGAGACCATAGAGTAATTTCTAATTTGATGAGAGGCCAAATTGAAAATACTAAAACTTAAGTAATTAACCTAATTTTGGTTATATAAAGGGTCATGGTCCCCTTCTGAGAGCACACAGACAGAACACAGTTACAGTCCCGTTCTTTTCTTTCTATCCCCATCAAGAGAGAAAATCAAGAGGGAAATACAGGTGCTCTTCAGGTGGAAGACCATAAGATCAAATCAAAAGTGCTCTACAAAGGATATCGTCATAATGGCTAATTCAGGTACGCTTTCGCATTTAGTTTATAACATGTTTACAGTATGAGATTAAAGATATATGTTTGATCATTAGAATGAAGATCATATTCAATTAAAGATTAACCTAACAAGTGGTATCAGAGTAACCCATACTTGATTCATGTTTTTCTTAGGAAATATTTAAGAATTGAGATTAATTTATGAAACCCTTAATCCCTAAATAAAAAACCCCAAAAATTGAGAATCCTAGGATTTCTTAAAACCCAATTCTCTATTCCGCCCGCGTGTGGCATTATCCGGAGACGGTGTAGCTGTTGGCTCAACACGCGGAATTGGAGAAGGCCGCGTGACGTGCCTCCGGTGTGGTTGGGAAAGGGAGTTGCTGGGTTTAAAGGCACGGTGATGGGTTATCCTATGGGCCTGTTGCACCTGATGGTTTTGGCTAATTCAGCTTTGGTGAAGTTGCTTCTGAAAACCCTAATTGAGGAGAAAAAAGAAGGAGATGCGCTCTCTGCGTTTACGGCCTCTACCTCCGATGATGCTTCACGGGCGCGGGCCTCTCCTCGCACACGCTCCACATCGATCACCAAATCCCACTTCTCTGTAACGATCACCAAACCACACTTCATTTTTTGGGCCCTCACCAATCCAACGTCCCAAAAGCCTTCTGTCGTTCTCATCCACGGATTTGGGCCTGCGGCCATATGGCAGTGGCGCCAACAGGTCCAATTCTTAACCCCTCACTCAACGAATATGTAGCTTCTTGATTCTGTGATTGGGACATTGCTGGTGGTGGTATCGTAGTTCGACGACAGCGATGTTAGGGTTCGCGTTCGGTGCGGACGAGGGGAATTGGCCATGTTTGTGTTGGTGTCGTTGGTATTTCTTCTGGTTCGGGGTTGTACCGCAGTGGTGCTCTTCTTGCATTTGCACATCGAAGGGAGAGATTGTGGCTGTGGCTAATGTGCGCCGGGGAACCCTCGTGGAAGATTCGAGAAAGAAGCTGCTGAGATGAACAAGAGGTCTTTCAAGTATGCTTGGGTGCTTGACAAGCTCAAGGCTGAACGTGAAAGAGGAATCACCATTGATATTGCCCTCTGGAAGTTTGAGACCACCAAGTACTACTGCACAGTCATTGATGCCCCCGGACACAGGGATTTCATTAAGAATATGATTACTGGGACATCCCAAGCTGATTGTGTTGTTCTTATTATCGATTCCACTATCGGTGGTTTTGAAGCTGGTATTTCTAAGGATGGACAGACTCGTGAACATGCTCTCCTTGCTTTCACTCTTGGTGTGAGGCAGATGATTTGCTGTTGTAACAAGATGGACGTTATCGGGAGTGGGTGTTGGGGGCTGTGGAAGTGGAATCCACTACCGCAGTCTCGACGGTGTCGTATTCACCGCACTTCGGGTTCGACGGGTGCAACCGGCGGAGGTGGCTACCGGTTTCCGGTGAAGCAAGCGGTGACTGCTGCCTCCCTTGCCCTCACCGGCAACACAATCGCTCAGCTCAGCAACCGTTGGAGGAAAGCGAAGGAGGGTGGTGGCAGTGTCTCTCAAGGTTGTTACAGGATGAGTTGTGGAGCCACCTTTCAGACCATGATTGGCTGTGTACCCTGCGAATGACTTCGTATGGATTCCTTTTGTATGGCCCTGGTTCTTATGCCTAGTATCAGTGTCTTGACCACTTTCTCCCCAAGCTGACGGTCCAAAATCTAATGTTCAAGGTTTTACTAAACCAGATTGTATTAGGTCCATGTGTAATTGGTGTTGTTTTTGCATGGAACAATTTATGGCAAGGGAGGCTCTCTGAGCTTCCGGAAAAATACAGAAGAGATGCTCTTCCAACGTTGTTTTATGGTTTTAGATGCTGGATCCCTGTCGGTGTATTAAATTTCTGGTACTTTAGGTATAATTGGAAAATACTTGTTTTATGAATGGCAGTGGTGGATTCCGTGCCATTATAATTTTTTTAATAAATAAATAATTATATAAATTTAGTTTAGGGTTACCCTTATTAATATATTCAATTTGTTTGATAGTTTAATATTTTTGTGAGCAAATTGAGTCAAGAAGTTACCAAAGTAACATCTCTTAAATTGGGTAGTTCGTGAAAAATATTAAATGTTAGTGTTTGTGTATATTCATGCGAGTATTAGTCGGCCCAAAGGAAGATTAATATTTGGCCGAATTGCATATACACTTGTAATGATAAACATGTGATAATTATAAAGATTTGCTTTGTCGATGATAAATCAATCCAAAGACTGATTTGTTGTTGGACGTGCTTTATTATCAATGTTTGATTATTACAACAAGATACCTTTAGCAGTTAATATTACTGTCTAAAGACTTGATATTGATGGTGCATTGGGTGTCTTGAGATGGGTTAAACCATTATTTGAATATATATTTTATTTATAATTATTTATTTTATAATGTGAGCATAATTAGTTTATTTCTTTTGTTCTAATCCAGACTAAAATTGCTTCTGTATCTGCCAATTTAAATTCTGTTCCGGTCCTCAATGGAACAAATTTTAAGGATTGGAAAGAGAACATTGATATTATTCTTGGCTGCATGGATATGGATCTTGCGTTAAGGACTGAGCAACCCCCTGTTCCTACGGATTCAAGTACCTCTAAACAGAAAAGAGATTATGAAAAGTGGGATCGCTCAAATCGCATGAGTCTAATGATCATTAAGTGCGACATCCCGGAGGTGTTTAGGGGCACTGTTTCTGAAAACATCACAAGTGCCAAAGAGTTCCTTGCTGAAATTGAGCAGCGCTTTGCAAAAAGTGATAAGGCGGAGGCAAACACTCTTCTTCAGAACTTGATCTCCATGAAATATCAGGGCAAAGGAAATATCAGGGAGTACATTATGAGCATGTCTAATATTGTTTTTAAACTCAAGGCACTAAAGCTCGAACTCTCAGAAGACTTGCTCATTCATTTGGTGTTGATTTCTCTTCCCGCAACGTTTAATCAGTTTAAGGTATCTTATAACTGTCAGAAGGATAAATGGTCTCTTAATGAACTCGTTTCACATCGTGTACAAGAAGAAGAAAGGCTAAAGCAAGACAAGACAGAAAGTGCTCATTTTGCAAACACCTTTAAGGCTAAAGGCAAAAGAAAGAGATCGGAGGATCCTAAGAAGGAAGCTGCTAAAGGTCCAGAACAAAAGAAACAAACTCAAAAAAACAAATGTTTCTTTTGCAATAAGACTGGACACGTAAAGAAGCAATGTGCTAAATATCATGCTTGGCGTGAAAAGAAAGGGTTGCCTAAACTACCGGAAGTCAACTGATTCTGAAAGATGGATATACGTTGAAAACGACAAATCGGTGGAGATGGATACTATTGGACATTTTAGATTATTATTGTGTACTAATTTTTTATTTTAGATTTAAAAGACATTTTTTGTCGTGCCGTCTTTTAGACGAAATTTGGTTTCAGTTTCTTATTTGGACAAATTAGGTTATATGTGTTCATTTGGAAACAATAAGTTCAGTTTGTCTTTTAATTCAGATATTGTTATAACTGGTTCATTTTTTGGCTAATGATAATCTATATTTACTTGATACTGTGGTCACCTATAATGCAACTCTTAATACAGAATCTCGTGGTATTAAACTAAAATTGGACTCCCGAACAGTAAGTAGTTACTTCATTGGTTATTCTGAGAGAGCCAGGGGATATAAATTTTATGATCCCACATTAAAGACATTTTTTGAGATGGGAACTGTTATGTTCTTTGAGGATATTCAGTTTGGGGGGAAGAATAAGATTAAGAATTTTGTATTGGAGGAAGAATCGACAATAAATCCAGAACCGATTCAAACAATTACTTTTGATAAAGTAAGTTCGGAACCTTCACAAGACATTGATGATAAACCCCATATTCAAGATGATTTGATTGTTCGTCAAGACCAAACTCAAGATCCTCAAGAACCTGTGCGTCATGAGCCGGGGATACTCCAGTTACTAAGGAAGACAAGTTTAGTCTAAATTAGTGCCCAAAGAGGAATTTGAAAATTGAGGAAATGCAACAGATTCCCCATGCATTAGCTATCGGGAGTTTGATGTATTCCCAAATATGTACGCGTCCAGACATAACATACATAGTTGGGGTTCTAGGCAGATATTTAAGCAATTCAGGAATAGACCATTGGAAAATAGCAAAAAAAAAGGGTCATAAGATATTTAAAGAGAACAAAAGATTATATGCTCACATACAGGAGGTCAGACTAGTTGGAGATCGCTGGATTTTCTGACTCATATTTTGCAGGATGTCAAGAATTTGTAGCATGCTATGAGGCATCAAATCATGAAATATGGCTGAGAAATTTTGTCACAGGGCTGCAAATTGTGAAAGACATTGAAAGACCACTTAAGTTATATATTGTGACAATAAATCAGCTGTATTGTTAAGGAAAGAGTACAAAGTGGATAGATTTCCATAAAACACTTAAGGACAAACTCCATGATAGCATATCCTCTAACTAAAGGACTTCCGCCCAAGGTCTTTCATGAGCATGTTGCTCACATGGGTGTTTTACAGTTTGAGGAATTTGTGGTTTAGTGAGAGTTAGCCATTTTCATATATTTTATGTTCTATGTTTAATTTTATATATGTATACAATGTTTTTTTGGACATATTTGGTTATCTATAGATATGCGGTTTTCTTGTTCATTCATTACACTTTGTACATTAAGGTTATTGTATCGATCTCGATAAGTTAAAGTTTGGACCAGTTGAAAATAGACGTGTACAGATCACCTTCACGTAATTTTTCATGCTACACATTTCATGATGAATCCATGTCATTTGGTTATGTCAGGATGAGTAATCTTGTTGGTTTTAGTTGCGATGATGCAATGAAAAGCTGGTTTGGTTCTATATCCTGATATGATTAATGGACAAAACTTTTGGAATATGCTAAAGGAATATAATGACAATTTTAAGCTCATAAAGTCTAACACATTTGTAAGGTTGTAAAGACATATATATTTGTGACTAGTGGGAGATTGTTGGCAAATTTTGGGTCATGTATATATATGAAACATATTTAAATGTGTTAGGGTCATTATTTATTAAGCCAAATAATAAAGTGATCTAAATAAATTAAAGTTTTGGCTAAAGGCATATGTCATGAAAATATGATTGTGTAGAGACCATAGAGTAATTTCTAATTTGATGAGGGGCCAAATTGAAAATACTAAAACTTAAGTAATTAATCTAATTTTGGTTATATAAAGGGTCATGGTCCCCTGAGAGCACACGCATGTAACACGCATACGCCTCATTCTTTTCTTTCTATCCCCATCAAGAGAAAAAATCAAGAGGGAAATACAGATGCTCTTCGTGTGGAAGACCATAAGATCAAATCAAAAATGCTCTACAAATGATATCGTCATTATGACTAATTCAGGTACGCTTTCGCATTTAGTTTATAACATGTTTACAGTATGGGATTAAAAATATATGTTTGATCATTAGAATGAAGATCATATTCAATTAAAGATTAACCTAACATTAGTTTCATTTAAAACACATAACAAAGCAAATAAAGGAGCAAATACTGAAAGAAGCTACAAATTCAGTCTTACATAGAAGAAAGTGAAGGTGAAACAATCAAACAGCAACCATTTAATGCTTCTGATAGAAGGAAGGAAAAAGATTTTTAAAGTTATTTCATGGCATGCTTTCTGCAAACCAAAGTATCTATTAATGATTGCATGAGAAGGAAACATAACATTACTTCATTGCATGCTTTTAGCAAAACAAGCACCAATTTACTCCAATAACCGTGACGATGTCATTAATTGTGTTTGATGTTTTCTTCTCAGTGCATTCATTATGTTACATATTACTACAAGTTTCAATTTTTTTTAATAAGAATTTGTTTATATCCCATTTACTATAGAGAAAATTAAGTTTTAGTTATATTTTGTAGATATTTATTTGTTTTCAAATATCATTATATATTATTTAATTAAAATTAATATAATTACAAAATATTTTACTTTCTATAAGTTAATTAGTTAATTAAATACATATATTTACACGATTTGTTATATCTTATAATTTATTCTATTTTGTATAAAAGAATAAATGTAGTTTAGTTTATGTTTTTTTATCTTATATTTCATATTTAATATTATAATAATAATACATAAAATAATATAAAATTTAATTATTGTATTAAAAGAACTAATTATTAGATGGTTACAATTTTTTTCCTTTGGACAATATGACATGCACAATTTATTTGTGGAAAACATCATAATATATAGAATTATAAATAATAATATAATTCTTCGGTATATATTTTAATGAATTAAATTTTAAATACCAGACACGTTTAATTATTAGTTCTAACAGTCAACATTTTCAAAACTAGAAATTGAACGTAGTAAGTAACATATAACTAAAATTTAAAATATTGGAAAAAGACATATTAGAAGTGTATTTATCATTTCCATTGAGCGGCCCGCCAGAAGAATGCCCACTTTATTTGTAATTGGGGCGACAGACCTATTCAGATGTGGTGGTAGTTGGGCTTGGGCTCACATTCTGGTGTAGAGGAGTGACAGAAGGTAGTAGAAGAAGACGAAGAATGGCGCGGAGGAGCAGAGAAGGATGAAGAAGGGGTTGGTGGTGTACAAGCTATACAGAGCCCTGAGCTATGGCTTCTCACCGTTAGTCCACCTTCACCTGCGGTGGCGCAGGTTCCTCGGCCTGGAGCACCCGCTCCGGTGGCCGGAACGCCTTGGCCACCCTTCTCAGGCTCGGCGACCGGGCCCACTCCTCTGGTTCCACGCCGTTTCCTTGGGCGAAGGAATGATCGCCATTCCCGTCATCAAACACTGCATTCGCAGAATGCCTCACTTAAACGTGCTCATGACCGTCACCACTATGTCTGCTTTGTAAGACTCTCACACTCGCACTCTATTTCCTTGGTCTGAATTTTTTAACACTAGAAACTGTATTTTAAAGTTCGAAGAGTTGAGACGTTTTCCGAATCCTTTATCTGAGAAAAGAATCAGACATTATTAAACTCATTCTGTGAGGTTATTGTTATAATCATATTTTTTTTTTCTTTTGGTTGAACGCAGTGAAGTATTCAGCAAGTCGCTTCCGAGTGAAATAATTTTACAGGTAAGTAGATTGAGTAATTTCTCTATTTGCTTGCATCTTTTCTTAAATTAAGTTGAGAAATGCCGTAAATATAATTTCATTTCTAACATATTCTTTACTTTATTCACATTAGTTAAATAAGAAGCGAGACTATTATATTTTTTAACTTGCAATAAATTAGTGTATTAAAAAATGTATTATTACTTATTGACATTCCTTAATTAAGTTTATTGCCTAGGCCATTTTCATGACTGGCTCATGCAGGGAAGCTATTGCAGAGAACTGTTGCCTTGCCCATGCTGAGTCATTTGTAAAAGTAAATCTTGTATACGAAAGGATGATATGTTATCGTTCTTATAATGGGAAATTAGTGATTTTTTGTTAATTGATCAGGATACAACTTACAAGGATGGTGCAATAGTTGAAACACTGATTAGTAATAATCATGCACTTTTTCAAAATAAATTTATTTCTGATTAGAATAGAAAAGAGAATTGTGTTTGTTTCTCAAGTAAATTTGTTTCTGCAATTGTTATCTAATTCAATTTTTTATCGTGTTCTTAACTTGTTTCTAGGATCTTAGGGCTGTATATCTTGCTTCAGGATAAATGATCAAAGACGCATACCCTTGAAATGACATTCCTGGGTTGGCTTCTGTGGTCTAGCATGCTTATTATTTACCATTTCTTTATCAGTTTGACTGGAGGCTTAACATATTTTTGAAGTTATGTTCAGTCTATATTTTTTGAGTTTCAGATTGGGATTAGCACAATTGATTTGGTTTGCTGAAACTTTCAAATTTGGCAGTTTTCACCTGTTGACACCCCTACTTCCATCCATTCTTTCCTTGAATACTGGAAACCAAATGCTATTGTGCTAATGGAAAGTGAACTCTGGCCAAATCTTATCATGGATGCTTCCAGAAATGGTGTAAGTCATTCTTTCTCATTAGTTTGTGAGCTACAAACACCTATAGAGTATGAAAGGGAGAGAAAAATAGTCGAATGCTCAATTCAGGCATCTGAATTGTATCTATATATCTTAAGTTAGTAGTAGTCGAGGCTGACTTTTTAATTTAAAATGGTAAACCAATTAATTTCTTTGTTCCTACATCTACTTCATTTGTGTGTCTTATATGTGCATCATATCAGTTAATTATTCTAACCGATTACTATCATCAGATAACACTGGCACTTTTAAATGCTCGGATGTCTGAGAAGTCCTTTAAATATTGGTCAGGACTAGTGCTTCTACCATTAATTTCATTGATGCTATCAAAGTTTTCGTTGATTGTCCCATTGGTATGTTCTCCTGGATCTTTTACCTTCTCACTTGTTCGAGACTCTTATTATGTCATCATTGAAGATTTTGAATGTCGTAGAGTACAGAGCAGGGTATCCGGTTTCAGCTACTGCAAGCCCCTCCCTATATCATTAACTTTTCTGGTGATTTAAAATATGGTATGCCATTTCTTTTGATTACTTAATATTCGGAGTAAATGAAATCGAACATAAAAATTGGTAACAGTGTTCTGATGTACAACATCATCTTATTCTTTTAAAACAAAAGTATCTGATTACCTGACGTCCATGTTCTTGCTGATATGTTTACAAATATAGTTATAGAAACTGAAAATTTTTGTTGTTGGTTCCTCTTGGAATGTTGAATTTTTTTAAGGGATAAACTGGTCTGTACTAGTCTCGTCTAATCACTCTTTTCATTCAGTAATAGAAGATTTTGGGGTCAATGAAAGAGGCAGAAGAAATATAGAAAATCTGAGGATACAGCTTACTCAAAAGCAGGTTTGGATGGCTTCTTCGATTCATAGGGGAGAAGAAGAAAGTCAGTTCCATCTTCTATACCTCTGGCATTATGTTTCAATACTTGTTTTTTCTTGGAGCCACATGATTGGTTTACTTAACATAAAAAAAATGAGTGGGAAGCCAATAATATGAGAAATTTGAGACAATGTGGGTGGTTTGATTGTTCTGAGATTTGCTTTGCAGTTCCATAAAGATGCTAAGATTTTATGTTTTATCAATGCTGGCCTTGAGTTACAAAAAATCTTTTGTAACGTAGCACATTCCATTTTCCTTTTGCTTCCATAAATTAGCAATGGAAAGAAACATGCCTTGATATTGTTTTAGCCTCCTTTTGTGTGATTATTAGATTCATACAATTGATATTTTTTCTTTTTAAAATTTCTAGGTGGTTTGTTCTGAGATTTGCTGTGCAGCTTCGTTAAGATGCTAAGATTTGATGTTTTATCAATGCTGGCCTTGAGTTACAAAAAATCTTTTGTAACGTAGCACATACTATTTTCCTTTTACTTCCATAAAGTTGCAATGGAAAGAAACATGCTTTGTTATTATTTTGGCCTCCTTTTGTGTGATAATTAGATTCATGCAATTGATAATTAGAAACATGTTTTATTGCTTTCTCTGCAGTAATATTAGGTGTTCACTTTGCCCTTATGCAGCAACAACCTAACATAATGACTATTATCGTCCCTCGGCATCTACAGCAAGGAAGAGAGATTGCCAGAGTAAGCTTTTTGTCCTATATCCTTTGGAAACATGTTGTGGTTTCCGCGGTTATCTCCCATAGGAAGAATTCGCACTCAATGCAGTCTAATACTGTTAAGGAAACCACCTATTAACAAGGCGCATATTAGGAAACGGAAGAGGGGAAGTGAATACTTAAAGTAACAGATTACATGTGCAGCAATCAATGATTAATGAAAGGAAATAATTGAGTGATTTTTGTAAGGCTATAAAAATTAATAAAGGGAGGAAGTTTGACCCGTATAGCTACAGGAAAGGAATTTGTTGAAGAATAATGCAGCAAATTTACCCATTTTTGGGTGTTTTGATCCAGTTACAAAAGATACTAAATGTTAGTGCCTCCTTTGGCAGAAACTCAAACCGTTGTTCACAACTTTGCAAGGGACCAGTCCTTACCGCCGGGACAAACACCTGTTAGTGTATTTTTGGACTTCTGTTCATTAAGAAATTTTACTTTTATTTCCAAGAGCTTTTCTAAAATTATTTGCCTTGGCCTGTTTCTTTAAAGTGAAGAGAATCTTAAATTTATGTTTACCATTATTGTGTTTATGTATGGATGTGTTCGGATCTAATGACAATCAGTTTATACATCTCCTTTTAGAGTAGTTTGAATACAACAAACATTATACTCATTTAAAAAATATTCTTATCTCTGAACACTTTTACTTTTTCTACCATCTCTGAAATTCATGGTGCTTCTATTTGAGATAGTGCAGAAATTGGAGAAAGAAGGACAAAATGTACTTTTGAGGTCTCAATATGAGAAGTTCAAGCCCGGAACTAACATTTATGTGGTGGACACTTTGGGTACGATTTCTTTTCTTTTGACTGACACGAAATGCTGTCATACATGAAAATCTACTTTTGCTGACAATTGAGACCACGGGATTTCTAGAGCTGCTGAGTTTGAAAGGCTCTTACTAATTATTTGAAAGGGCACCTTGGAGGATTGGAATTATTTGGTTAATAGGGACATCATCATGATCACTGTTATCCATCTTCTTTGGCAGGTGAATTAAGACAATTATACACATTAACACCAATAGCTGTGATTGGGGGTTCATTACTTCCTGGTTTAACTGGCCATAATATCTCAGAAGCTGCTGCAGCTGGATGTGCTGTTCTGACAGGTGCATACTAAATAATGTAATTCTCAAATCTCAGCATATTATCTGTGGTTGGAACTCATAATTGATTTCAGGTTGTCACGTTGGGCATTTCTCCCACATGGTACTGGAAATGCAACGATCAAATCCTTTGTCAGTTCTTCAGGTGGGGTGACAACTCATCATTAATCAACATTATTCTTCAGGATAAAATATTCTTAGTGTTCTGTGTGTCGCCTACTTGTAGGTCTCTGGTAAACTGGAGCTTGAGAAAGCTCTCCTTGAGCTCTTCACCGATGCAACGCTTCTGGACGCACGCCGAAGAGCCTCTAAGGAAGTGTTTTCCAGTTTATCCTGTTGCATTGTTGAGAATGTATGGAGTCTGCTAAGTTTTCATATTTTAAGTAGATTGTCTGCAGAGGAATCCAAAGTCTAGGACTGAGAAATTAAGAGGCAGAAACACACCCAAGTTGTAACCCCATTTCACATTAATGGTGGTCTAAATGTCAATAAGAGTTACTAGAGAAAATAAAGTATAATAACTCTATTTTTATTAATGAAATACCAACCAATCTTTTTTATGTATTAGTTTTTAACGTCAATCTTGCTTCCTATTATTGTCTTTAAAGCTTGAAGAGTGTGATTGCCACATGCTTCATTTATTCAAGAGTAGTGATGTAAACATTTACTTTGGCAAGTCTGTGTGCTTCAGAACGTCGAGTTTGTTGGCTCACACTAACAACATTAGGCCCCCGGTAGGCTCTTATAGGTTTGCAGGTGGGTTTGAATTTTTGTTGACTCGAACTACAAATTTGCTATTGCCATAGTCATCTCTCACGTCATAATGAACACAATTATATTTATTGTTCGATTAAATAATAATTATGGATCACAAGTTCACAACAAGACGGATCTCAGAGTACGTGTCTGAAATATGATTAATCTTTTAACCATAAAGAGTACTGATTCTTTTAAATGTTATTTTCTTAAACTCGTACAAATACAATACAAACAATTTGGCCAATTTTGAAATACCCATATTTCAATTGCCTTTCAAGCAATTCGTGCTACAACTGACAGCTATACCTCTCAAGTTTGGAGTCAAGTGTTGATTAATTAATGATTTCGGTCATCATTTAGGCATTTGCTTGCTTTTTCCTTTTCAGGGTCTTTTAAAAGTAAAATAATGACCAAGTTAAATCTAACTTTAAAGTCAATAGAACTTCATATATTGTATCCAATTTGAAGATGAAATACCCCAAAGACTCATTGGATGTTAGCAAGTAGTCAACAGGGGTTCTGGCCTTTATTTATTATCTTACTCATCACATTAAAGAAAAAACAAATAATAATGTTTCAATCTGATCCATAAACTAAAATGGATTATTACTTTTTTAAATTAGGTATTATTTTATAAATGACTTCGTCCATAAACTTACTGATTGATTAATTTAAAGTCTATTTAAACTGTAGGTTAAACAAATAAAAAATAATTTAAGTTATAATTTTTGCACATGATGTAATATAATCCATTTAAGGACATTTCAGATTTGGTAAATGAGAGCAAACTCATCTCTATTTACAGGTACCTTTTAGAATTTAATTTTCTGAATGGTAGCAATTATTGAGCTTTAGATACTCCACTTATCTGTTTCTTCTGCTATGGAGAAAGTAAGAGAAGAAAACATGGATAAATGCAGATAAAACACATAGCATACAAGGAAAATGATTGTAGAACTTTTGAAATCATCTGTGAATATAACATGGTTGTGGTGGTTGAGAACTAGTTCTGTAGATAAGCAAATATGGGAAATGAAATGGTGTTAAAAAGTGTTCTCCTTGAACTGGTACAAGTACACCAAAATATGTGAATATACTAATGAATGCATTTAGTTGCTGCTCCTCCCTTTGCCATCATAGTCTTGAAGTAAGGGCGCAGAGTCCTTGAAGTGGAGCTTCTTGAGGGGCACGTGGGGAGAGGATGTTCCATCTCTAAGGGCCTGGATAATATCTTGGAAAAGGTACTCATCACAAGGTATAGCTAGAGGACCACTCTTGTTGAAGCCATAGCCTTCATATTGGTCTAACAGTTGTTGAAGCAAGGGATGGTTAAGGTAATCAGCCCTTATCACAAACCTTCTCTTTGCTTCTTCTCCCACCATCACCGCCAAGTGGCCTCGTGGCACATCTGGTGGCGCCCGCGGTTTCTTCCCACTGCTGCCACCACTAGCACTCTTGAGCCACATGCAAGAAGCCATGCTTAATTTGTTAATGTTTAAGTGTTGAGGGTTTGATGAGGTTCTTGGTTGTGGTGGTGGACTATGTAATGCTATGTTATATATAAAGATTAGTGTATTAGTGTCATGCATTGTGGTCTTGGAGTTTCACTGTCCATGATCTCGACATAGTGAGACACATTGTGTGCTTTGGAAAACGATTGAACCAAATTCCGAAGTGTGTTGACAAAGGTTTGGTATGGCAGTTTGGTGTAGTCCCTGTTGTTCCACTATTTTGCATTGCCATTACTGTTTTTCTATTATTTATTTATTTATTTATTGTGATGCTTTTAACTTGTTATGGATGAAAAAGAGGAGGATTTGGTTGCCATTAATGGTGTCTGTGTGCTACTGTGCATGCTTAGTTCTATTAGCAGATTTCCTTTCCTCACCTAAACAAACTATAAATGGAATCCAAATAAAGAAAAGACTCTATCTTTCCTTTTAAACTCTTTGGTTTTTAGAATCTTTTTGTTATTTATTTATCTGTTGCTTTTAAATTTGAAGATAATATTTGTTATTTTATACTTTTAATGAATGTGAAAATAAAAAATAACTAATTATTGTGGAGTAAATATCAAAGAAAAAGACAGAAAACATAAATAATAACTGAACTTTGAATAATGAATAACTTTTTTTTTGTTTTTAATAAAATTCATAAAAGGTACTTATTAATTATAATAAGGGATGTGTTGATAAAGAAAAAAAAAATAACGAAAGAGATTAAATTTTATAATCTAAAAAATTAATATAAATGTTATAAACTAATTTGAGATTATACCCAACTTAATTAGTATATAGTTGAGTAAAATATTTGGAGAATTATTTTTGTCCCTTGTAGGGATTCTACCTTGTTCCAACCTAATTGTTATCCAAATATGATCTCCATTTTAAGTTGGTGCCTCCTCCACACTATATTTCTTCCTCTTCCTATCTAAGATATCTCCTTATTATTTGTTAGTGATTAAAATTGAACAAATAAAAAAATAATTGAATTTTTTACTCATTTTTAATCTAAATTTTCTAATTCTATTTAAATTTTAAATGAATCAAACTATTTATTATATTTACAAATTATATTATATATTTAAAATTAATTATTTTATTTATAATATATTTTTATTATTAAAAACATAGTACAACTTTAATTATAATTATAAAAGAAATATATTGTTTAAATATAATAATAATCATATAAAATTCAAAATAAGAATTTTTATTTAAATTTTTTATTATGAATGTTTAATATATTTTTTAGGAAAATATTTTATAATTTAAAAAAAAATTAACAATTTTATAGTACTAAAAATAGTAAAATTGATTTAAATAAAAAAATAAATATTAATTTAATTTCTTTCAGATTTTATATTAAAGTAATACTGAGTTAGATAATGCTTATATTTGGTTCCAATGATTCTTCAATGAAAAATTAAATTAAATTTTGTTACAAAAACCCTTGGTGAACCATCATGCACCCTCCCTCCATAATGATTTTTGGTATCGTATTCATGACATGCATATGGTTCTTTTCTGCTGGCAATGTCATCTTTTTAACTAGTGCCTCAGCCACTTTCACCACATTTAGATTTATTATTACAATAAGATAAGTTAGTCATTAGTGTGATCTAATATATTAATAAATAGGTAAATTTTATATTAAAGATATAGTGTAAAAATAAATTTTGTCAAATTTTAGTATTTATACATCTAAATAAATATCAAAATATTCTTTATAATCATCAAGTTCTAAATATCTTAAATATATTTTAATGAATTTTTCTATATTTTTAATTTTAAATTCAAGTTCTTTTTTATTAAGAAAATTTACAATTAAGATAAAGTGTGTCAAATTGAATTCGATCTATCAGGTTGGGTTAAATCAAGTCGGGTAAGACCGAAGTTAAATCATAATCAGAATAGGTTAGGTTAGGCAAACTAACATCAGGTTATACTTGATTAGACCAAGTTAAGTTAAGTTAGGTAGTGCTAGGCAAGGTGGTGTCAAACCTAGGCAAAATCGAGCCAATTCAACTTGAATTAGGTCAAGTTAAGTGAAGCTCAAGTCATAGTGATGTGTGTTAAGTTAAATCAGTCTGAATTAGGTCAACTTGGTTCAAAATTAGGTTAACTTGGGTTGGATCTAGTCAAATAAGGTCAAAATGGGTTAGGCTAGGTAATGTCGGATCAGGTGGTTAAGTTTGTTTAGGTTCGATGAGGTCTAACTAGACCTAGTTGGGTTAGGCTTAAATCAAATCGGGTTGGGTTAAGTTAGGTTGATTTCAGTCTGGTCATGTCATTCTGAATTAGGTCAGAAGTCATGTTGGGTTAAGTTATATCAAGTCAGACTTGACTATGTCAAGCTAGACTAGGTCCACTCAAAATACGTTGGGTCAGTTTAATTTAAATTAAATTATAAAATGAATATGGATGTAATATAATTTAAATCTAAATCAATTCGATTTAATTAAATGAATCTAAATCTTTGTTCTCTTTTATTATATCTTATTCTTGCAAAAAAAAGATTTGTGAATAGGAGGGCAAAATAAGTCAGTCTTGATGACTTATGCCTTAAGATCTCCTACATCAGGCTATAAAAAGTACAAGTAAAGGGAAGATATACTTGTGAAAATATTTTAATGCTTAGGTTAATATATCAAGAAGAAGAAAACAATGTATTAGCATAGAAATAGGTATGAAAAATATGTATGTATAGAAAATATAATTGTTAGTATATAGAACTCTTGTTAAATTACTTTAGATAATAAATAATATCATTTTAATGTTATGACGCATATTGAGGAGATGTTTTAAGATTGAAGTGTCATTCATTAATGTGTCATCGCAAAGGATTTTCTTAAAAGTCGTGCATAAGATTAGGTAAATTTATTGATTTGAATAAATTGAGTGCATTATGTTGTTCATTTTTTCTTTTTGTGTTTTCTTGCATCTTCTTCCTCTTTTCTTCCTCTCATATCTCCAAGTTTTTCTTTCTTCGTCACTCTAGGTATGTTTGGTTTTCTTGTTTCTAGATATTCTATTTTATTTTAATGTCTTCTTCTAGTTTTGGTTCCTTTGACCTTCAATAGTTCACTCTATATATGTTGAACGGTTGCTAAATAAAAGTGAAGTTCACCTATTGGTCACGAGTCTTTCAGAGAAGGGAGCTTGTTAAGCTCTTCCTCCTTTGCGGAGAAGGGACTTCTCCTCCACTAGAGATGGTGGGTTGTTGCTATTACAACGAACAAAGAAGCTCTACACATCATAGTGCTCTTTTGGCCACAATGGGCTTAAGGCCTAACAAATAGTGGCTAAGACTGTTTTAAGTTCCATTAGGGGGAGTTAGAAGGTTAAGTTTACTATTTTCTTAGACTCCGAGTATAGTTGGGTATTCGATAAGGTGAATTATTATTTTTTTATCTTACTACCATATCCTTTTTGGATAATATTTGCAAAGCCTACGATATTTGTGTTGATGTAGATGTCGAATTTATCATTGCTAAGACTTGCTCTTCTTTTGATCATGTATATATGAAGCCTAACTTAAATGTCAAAAACTTTACTTTTGTATATGAATGTTCACTCAAAGAGTTAGATATTTTTGTTCCCTTTACTAATTTTGAATGTGATATGTTATTTATTATGTGTGTTGCTTCGAGTTAACTCTACCTAAATAGTTAGGTTTTTTAAAAGGTGTTTCAAATTTTGTGTGATCTGCTTCATATTATTTCTATTGTAAACAAATTTATATATTTTTACCAACTTAAATACGACTAAGAAGTTAGCTAGGTATCTATTAATGGGTAGTAATGTCAATCTATTCTTCATATCTTCTTCTTTTAAAAACTTTAAAACCCATTTTTTTAAAATAAAATGTGCCTAAGATGATCCATCAAGAAAGTGTTTCTAAAACCTGACCATTCTGCTTATTGTTGACTCCTGATGATAAGGCTGACGCTAACAAGTCTTCCACACTTAATAAGTAGTAAGAGTCTTTTGTTAGTTCATTATACCAAGGATCTAAGAGCTCGATTCTTGGGTAAGTTATATATTCTTATCCTTTTTTTTTTCTTTGTGTTGACTACTTATTTTCTTTTGTAGAGATCATGGGTCTTAAGTTTTACTATAAAAAGACCTAGGCCAAGTTTGCCTTTGCTAATGGGCTTGATACCTAGGCTCTTGAAGGGGTAGACCTATCTCAAGAAACTGAAGCTAACTACTCAACCAAACCACTACTCCAAGAATCAAATTGGTAAGCCCGATGTGAATTACTAAACTCCCAACCTATCTCCTCTTACTTCACCTTAATCTGAATCCCTTGTGAAGCCCTTACTTTGCCAATGACTTATATGCTTTGTGAGGCGGGCAACCCTTTAATCCAAATTGACCACTCCTTAGTCAATACCTTAATGTGGACCTTTTCTAGCACATCAACAAGATCGTTGGATGGATGAAGACTGAGGGAGGTTTTCCTTATCCCTAAGACATCAAGATGTTTCAAACGATGAGTCCTTTGGGTGGCTTTGACTCCAATGAGGTGTTTTTTGCCATATGCATAACAATGGCCCATTATCTAAAGAATAATGTTTTGAGCACCCATCATCATGGGGACCAGAGGACAAGGAACATGTTAGCCCTTAAGAAACAAAGAGATCAATTACAAAAGAAATTGGTCAACCATGAAGCAACACTCTCAGCCAAGGCCCAAGAGAATTAGGCCTTGGTGCTCTAGTTGGCTGAAGCCTATAACAAGCATTTGGCCTTGCTAAAAATGGTTAAGAAGGGAGAGAAAATTTTCAAGGAGGCAAAAGGTTGTGCTATGGAGAAGGTCTCTAGTGCTAAGGCCAAGGCGGTATTTGATGGATGATTAACCCTTTAACTTTATTTAAAACTTTTTATTGTATTTGAATGTGTTTAACTTCTATTTCTCATATCCATTTGTTGTATGTGTTATTTGTACGCCTTTCACACTAGATCTCGCTAAG